ATCTATCTATCTATCTATCTATCTATCTATCTATCTATCTATCTATCAATCATCTTAGAGCCTGTCCATCAACTCATACGTTTGAAATGCCATCTTTTACCAAGCTGTGCCTCAAGGTACCTACGTCCCTTTCACACTTGTTTGCAGAACATTGCTGACTTGTGGGCCATGGTGAAGCAAATGACAGATGTTCTGCTGGTTCCCGCCAGTGACGCATTGAAAATACGGACGAGCATGGAGGTGCAGATGGAGTTTGTAAGGCAGGCCTTACAATATCTTGAGCAGAGGTATAAATCCTTAAATAGAGGGGGGGAAACTCCCAGGAAGCTTCCATGACATATAAAGTCATAGGGCTGGTTCCAGTTGCGGTTGTAAATCAAAGACTACTTGTACTCTGCAAAGGAAAGGAAAGAACCCTGGTAGAATTATTATTTTAAGAAGGTCTGAGCTCCCTTTGAACATAGTTACACATAATACTAATACAAACACACATAATAAAACCAATGCATACAGATTAGGTGTAGCCTGGCTTGAAAACAGTTACCGTGAGACGGACATTAAGAGTCCTAGTGGACAATCACTTAAACACGAGTCAAGCAGTGTGAGGAAGCAACTAAAAAAGTGAATACAGTCCTTGGTTGTATAGAAATAGGCATAGAATCAAAATCACGGGACGTATTAGTACCGCTTGATAAAGCCTTAGTAAGGCCTCACCTGGAATACTGCATCCAGTTTTGGTCACCACATGACAAAAAAAGATGTTGAGGCTTTGGAACAAGGGCAAAGAAGAGCAACTAAGATGATTAAAGGCCTGGAGGCTAAAACACATGAAGAACGGTTCCAGGATTTGGGTTTGGCTAGTCTAGAGAAAAGAAGGTTTAGGGGAGACATGATAGCAGTATTCCAGTATTTGGGGGGCTGCCACAAAGAAGAGGGGGGGTCACATTATTTTCCAAGGCACCAGAGGGCAGGACAAGAAACAATGGTTGGTAACTAATGAAGGAGAGAAGCAACCTGCAATGAAGGACGAACTTCCTAACCGTGAGAGCAATAAACAATTAACAGTGAGATCAGCTTGCCTCCGGAAGGTGTGAATGCTTCATCCCTGGAGGTTTTTAAGAAGAGATTTGATGGTTAGTTGTCTGAAATGGTATATAGCAGGGGTCTCCAACCTTGGCAACTTTAAGACTAGCGGACTTCAACTCCCAGAGTTCCTCAGCCAGCAAAGCTGGCTGAGGAACTCTGGGAGTTGAAGT